GTGTGTGTGTGTGTGTGTGTGCACGTGCGTGCGTGTGGGTGGGTGTTTTATTAAATGCCGCCAATTTATCAGTCAGCATTGCTGCACAGATTCGTAAATGCTATTTCGTTATAAATCACAGGGTCTTGTATTGTGTTGAACAAAGGTATTAATTAAATAGAGATGGATTGACTGATTCCTTTATTTGGACAGAAGTTTGACCTGCTGCACCAGCCGTAGTTACATATTAGGAAAATATAAAATAAGAATAGTACACCATACCTCTCAATGGTAAATGAAATCCATGACAATAAGTTGTTGTCACATGAAGCATATTTACACACGTTTTCTTTACATTTCTACAAACAGTCAACTTTAAACTTTACTGAGTGGTAACCAATTTATACACTGATAATCATTCTCCCTTTTTTATTTCCACTGACATAGCCTAATTCTACTAATTATGATGATTCGGTTTCTTTAAGAAAAAAAATCACACATTGGCGCAAGTGTTCATATGTTAAAAGGGGTACTAAGTGAAACACAGAAGTCTATCGTTTTTTGTTTTTTTTTATTTTCTTCACACTGTCTTTCCTTACAAAATACCATATTGCATTTTAAGAAAATAATATACATCTAAACTTCACTGCAATATATCCTAAACAATTTATTATAAGAAATATATCAATGTGTATAATAACATTCACAACACAGTCTCAAGAAATTATTTGAGTAAGTTTCACATCAAAACACATCTCTCATCATCACAATTACAAATCTATTAATCAAACATGGGAACATCTCTTCCCAGCCCCACTGTCTCGTACTGTACACCAGAAAAAAAGATAAAAAATATTATGTTACATTCTCTTTGGCTTTTCGTAAGAGAGTAAAATAAGAAATTACCATCTCATTTTTCCTTCTTCTTCTTTTCCTTCTTCTTCTTCTTTTTCTTATCTTTCTTCTTCTTCTTGTGCTTACTCCGTGATTCAGTGTCACTGGAATCGCTATTGGCTGCTGCCCTCT